TCCCTTTTTTCCCCCCCCCCCCCCCCCCCCCAAAAAAAAAATTCCAGGAACAAGAAAAAAATATGGGGAAAATGCCTGTTTTCTCAATAAATAAACTGATAACTGAAACACGAGATTTTTTTCCTTGTAAATTAAAACTACAATGAATCTAATTGCTTAAACCAATATTCTCTCAATTACCAATCCTACTTTTCAAGTGCCGTAATTCGTAGAATATAGGCGCATTAGAATCTGAGCATCATCATATCTTCACGAATTGGAATTCTTCTCCATGAACCCAACATCCAACCCTTAATTAATTTTGAAATCGAAACCCAACAATATGCAGTGCCCAAGAACTATTCGGTTTCAAAAAGTAGATTTAATATCCGAAATTAGATTCAAATAACAGATCTACAACATAAACCTAAGTCAATGACATTCTATGCAACGTCGAAAAGTGAGTATAATAATTGGTTTATTTTAACATGCATGGTATAGATATAAAGAAACCAATAGACTATGAATTTTATCTTAAAATTGTGTCGGCGACAATCTCCGGAGAAAGCAATGAATGATGAACTTACAGGGTTCAGATCCATTTCTGGAAAAATTAAGCTACTATCCTCTTTTCCCCGCCCTCTATGTATGTATTATCTCAAGTTCTACGCACTGGACCATTTCAATTATTCGGGCATAAATAGATACATTGAACCCATGGAAATCACGTTTGATTTTACTTGAAGATAAGAATTAGGAACATGCGCCCCCAAGGCACGTCTCCGCTAAAAGGGGAGGCCAGAGAAATTCAGCTTTATTTGTGGCTGTTGCGTCAAGAGTTCAAATTTTGAAATATGAATTTGACTTTTAGGTAAGTATAAGTGTCTAAACAACCTTACATCCTGTACCTTTGGAGACATAACATGCGATTTACCTCCCTCACAATGCTCCAGAATAGGGGTCATGGGGGACCCTTAAGGTTAGGGTTTAACCTTTAAGAATTAGGAACGTGCTAGATGTACCTAATTTTTTTTACCTAATGATTTACATGATGTGGGGACCACATATTGGGATTATTTTATTCAGGCAGGGTCTACGTGTTTGTGAGAGTAGGTAAACCATTTGGTAAACTAAATTATGTACACTTAGAATTATTCTAAGAATTAATATATTTGTATAAATGTGGTTGACAATAAAGGTCAACAATAAAGGTTGATGTTTTCAAAATGGAAATGACTATATTATGTACATAATTATTTACATAATAGTGTCCATAATTATACGTGACACTGGAATCAACCTTTAATTCAAATCTCACACTTGCACATCAATAATTGGATAATTGTTATATCACATTATGGACATCATTATGTGCAATAATTATGTACAAGTAAAATTTTTCTTTCAAAATTTGACCCTTAGTTTAAAAACAATTTTTAAAATTGATGAATGTGATATTGTTGAGTGTAATTGTCAACGAAGAGTGTAAACAAGAATATTGCACAAATAGCATGACTGTAAAAATAATTGAAGCTATGCTACATGCATGTACGTTGTGGTCAACATCAAGATTTACACTCCTTCACTTGGCTATATCTACACCGTTGATTTTGATCGCAATCATCACTGTCTAAATTTCTTCCACACAGGAGATGTCAAGAAGGGTGTGAATGAAAATGTACGACTAACAATATTCAAATAATTATTCGGTACAAATTGGACGTTGCAGAGGTGGTCATGGGATTTTTTGATGAGTTTTGCTAGAAATTCAGGGTCAAAAAAGAATTGTCTTTTTTTGATGTTCTGAATCAATGGAAGTGATCCAGTAATTGATTCCCATCAAAGGGTTACATGTGACCCGAGGCACATGTGGTTTATATTCATGATTAGGTTTGAATTGAAAGGGAGCCCAAGGGGTCGGGGGTGCGTCTAAGGCAATCGATGGCATGGGTGGTGTTCCAGTATCATGGGTCCCTAGAGTGGAGAAGGATTTTGTAACATTTGGGTGCGATTCTCCAACAGGTGGTGGCAACATTTTTAGAACTTAATCAATTTCTGGTTCTCAAATTGGTAGGGATTTTTAGAGGTGGTGTGTCGCAGTTGGGGGTAGTGGTGCTTAGGAGTTGCATGTGGTGGATTGTGAATTTGAGGTGATGATGTTGATTTGGGTGATGCTACTTGTGGCAGAGTACAGTGGAATGGGAGTGAAGAGTGATTCTGACCAGTTAAGTTGGTAATTATGATCAGTTGATTTGGTAGTTTGTGATCAATGAATAATTTTGTGAAATATAACAATGTATGATTTACGAGTAAATTTGTAATTGTGATTCGCAATTTGTATTTTGTGTCTTGTGATTAGATTGAGACATTGTATGATGTGTGACTATACATAACATTGATCATAAATCATGTCTTATCGTGAACTTTACCAATTTAATTAATAAGTGGAGCACAAAATGACAAAATTTTATTAGGTGGTCACAAAATGACTTATCCACGAGTTCCTTATTTTTGAAAATAAATTTTGAAACATTTGTAATTATGTAAATTTTTTTTCTTATTAATATGTTGTTAAGGACTAATGGACTAGAGCATCCCCAAAGGATTTTTTAAATATGAGATGTTTTTTATTTTAAAGAGTCAGCCATTAAAATTATGTTCCAAAGGATCCTTTAAATTAACATTTTAATTTAGAGAGTAGATTTATAATTAAATAAATTTAAAATATTTTAATTTTCAATGTAGAAAAATAATAAAATAATTTAGAAAAAAACTAGTTAAAGTAAAAGATAGATAAAAATAATAAATATTTTTTTGGAGTAGTAAAATTAAGTGTTAAATATAAATAATTTGTTGGAGTATTTTAAAATTTTAACTCTATAAATTTATAGATGCTTTTCAAATGATAGAATATACTCTTTAAAAATAGAAAATCTCTTGATGATATTTTTAGGGGTTGAGTTGGCCATGACAACAAGGATAGTTGGGGTACAACGTAGAAGGTTTTATTATTATTATTATTAATTTTATGGTTAACTGTATTTTGTTTCACCCTTAAATTTACATTGTTAATAATCAAATGAATAAAAATCCTTGCATTGGGGACAAAAGAGTGCTATAAAACTATAACGTGCTAGCGATCATATTTACCCCCAAAAAATAAAATTTGAATACCAAATTACCAAAAAGAAAAGAGAGAGAGAGAGAGAGAGAGAGAGAGCAAAAATGAGGTTAGAGAATAATGATGCAAATTTTCATTCCGTTTGGTAATGTAATTGCTAGCTTTTCAGAGTTATATACTAATGATTACAATTCCACTTTCATCGATTGGATGTCTCTGTGTCTTTTTGAATGGACGTAGGATTCACTCTTATTTATGCTAGAATGATGGGATGGTTTTTTGATGATACAAAACATACATAGTTATGTCGTCTAGGTAATAGCTTAATCGGTTTGCTTAAGCGTTGCTATTAAGAGAATGAGTTTTTCCAATGGATAAACTATAACTATTATGCCGGAGAGTAATAAGAATACTTGTTCCCGATTTAAAGTAATTGTGTTGGATCTTTCATGCGTTTAAGTTATATACTAATAATGCATAATGTATAATAACTTAAAATTTGGGATGACAAAATCAAAAAATTACCCGCTTAATTGGGTATTCGGATCGAGGAAGGGCGAGGGACTTCACCTCGAAGCAGGCACGAGGTGGGTAGGGTAACAAGGGCCCCGTCCCGTTTAACTTTTTTTAATAAAAAAAAAAACCAATACTTTAAATGAAAAAACTCCACAAATTTTAGTTTTAATAAAAGATGACAACTAAAATCATATAAGGAATATGACGAACAATAAAAATCTTAATTTATCAAATATATTTGAATAATTTAACTTTTAAAGATAAATAAATAAATTAAAAATTTTAATAAATATATTATTGTCTCAATTTAATGAATTTGGGACAATAAAATGAATTGTAAATAAAAAAAAATTAAAAAGGGCACTAAAAGGGGCAAGGGCCCCTCGACCCTCCCCACCTTAGACGGGTACCAGGGCAGGAAGTGGGAGAGGTTGTTCGACCATGACCCTTTCCATTGTCATCCCTACTTAAAATTCATAAGTTATATAGCATGGATTTGCATTTATCGATTAATAAATTACAATGTATAATAACTTATATTGTAGAGGTTGGCGCTATTATCCACCAAAAAATTACGAGAATAATGCTATACGTCCTTAGCAGAATCATTCAAATGTGGTCTGATTGATTATGTGAGGTGATATGTAAATATGATTTTCACTTAATTAATTTAATCATTTAGCCTTTGTTTGATAGGGATTAAAATCAAAATTTTAGTAAATTTGATAAAAGTTGATGAAATATATGGTTAAAAGGTTATGAACCCATAAAATATATGAAAAATCGTTGCCTTTAATTTAGATTAAAATCCTAATTTTAATCAATACCAAACAGGAGCTTAATCTCACATCACATAAAAATAATTTTCAGTACGTACATATAACATTACTCAAGTTACAATATCAATGTGTTTTTTTAACATAGCTTTTGATGTTATCTGTTAATAAATTGTAGCATAATATAATTTGAAATCCGTAGATTATTTTGTAGAATGATTTTGAAAACGCTAAGATATATTTGAAGTGGATAAATCATATTACATGATAGATAAATGGATAAAATTTGTCTCTATTATTACCCACAATACAAAACCAAATGAAAACGATAACATTAAGCTCGTGTTTGGTAAAACTTAAAAAATAAGTCTTTATTTGGGCTTCATTAAAATCAAATTTTAGGGGAAAATGTATTTTGGAATAATGATTTTTTGAAAAATGTGTAATTAAAAAAAATTAATTTTTTAAAATTTATGTGTAATATTATTTTATTGAAAAATGTATAGTTGAAAAGAAGAAAGGGAAAAATGTATTAAAATTTTAATGTAGTCCAAAAAGGGGGTTAAATTAAAATTTAAGTCAAAATTAATAATTATTAATTAATTTAACTACATATTTCATGTGATCTACAATTTTTTAATCGCATATTGCATCATTTTTATCAAAATTTATTAAAATCTTTTTTTTTCCTAAATCAAATAAGGGCTAAAATGATGCAATTTTCTTTTCACCATTTGCGATCACTATACATTGGCTGAAATCTCAAATTCAACTAGCGGTTACATTTTATAAGTCCCTATTGAACTCACAGTTTTTATTTTTTTAATTACATATTTCAAGATATTTACAATTTTTTATTCACAAATTTTAACAAAATTTATTAAAAATCTAATTTTTATTGAAATCAAACGGAGGAAGTCATGGAGTCCACCGCAAGAAGCTAGCACTTGACGAAGCCCGACGACCGCTCATGCTAGTTCAGCCAAAGGACTAAATTTTTTATGCCTTCTTTTATTTAAAAAAAAAAAAAAATACATTCAGGGTATGGAAGGATAGAGAAAAGAACCCTCAATATTTTGTAGAATTCTCTCCAACTGGTAGGGATTACGTGTATATAGATAGAGAAGTTGGCAAGCTTGTTTGTGCTAGAGACGAAAGTTTGTGGTATATATAGTAGAGGAAATGTAGAACCCTAAATAATTCTAAACACTTAATGACACTAAGACACGAATATTGGATGACTAAAGTATACTTCTGATTTTTAGTCTCATTTGAGACCCATTTTTGACATAGGAAACGTTCGATTTGGAAAATGATATCTAAATAAAAGT